TAACTTGTGAATAAATAATACAGGCTAATACCATCTAACATAACTTGTGAATAAACAATACAGGCTAATCCCATCTAACATAACTTGTGAATAAATAAAACAGGCTAATCCCATCTAACATAACTTGTGAATAAACAATACAGGCTAATCCCATCTAACATAACTTGTGAATAAACAATTCAGGCTAACCCCATCTGAATAGTAGTTATTTGGTAGAGAAGAAAAGAACTGGTTATATAATAAAAAGATATGAAAAGGCCATCTATAGATGCTAAGGATAACCAAACTAAAAATTTTAAATGCCAGGTATAAGATGTATGGAAATCATCAAAAGTTAAAGTAAATACTGGTTGACATTTTCAAGATGTAGTGTTCATCAAACAGACTAGAGGAGAGGGAAGAAAACCAACAGTACCAATATCTTGGACTCAAGACCTTGATACTGTGAGTTTTACAAGGGGTTGTAGAATGAAACCTACAGTACCAATATTTTGGACTTTGATACTGTGAGTTTTACAAAGGGTTGTAGAATGAAACCTACAGTACCAATATTTTGGACTTTGATACTGTGAGTTTTACAAGGGGTTGTAGAATGAAACCTACAGTTACCAATATTTTGGACTTTGATACTGTGAGTTTTACAAGGGGTTGTAGAATGAAACCTACAGTACCAATATTTTGGACTAGATACTTGTACTAAACCACTTAAATATGAAACATTCCAGATAAGGTAGAACTTACTGGAAAACAAACTGTAACTAGATATGTTTAGAAAACATTGGTTAATAGCAGAAAACATTTTTCTCAAGGTTTTGGTTTGCCGAAGTGATGCTGTAGCCAGTTAAGTATGTTATTTCAGAGTTGAAAGATCTTTAAAAAAAAAGCTGTTATTGGAGAAGGAAACAAATAGCCATTAGATGAGAAAATCATTAGTCTAGCTTATCTGTGACATAAAACAATAACATAATATACTATATTTATAAGGTCTAAATGTTATGACAGTTGTTATCTAATAAGGTCTAAATGTTATGAAAGAATCACGAAGGAAATATTTTAATATAACATTTTAACTGTCTTACGTATTAAATCCTCATGTATGTTTTTCAGACCTTACGTATTAAATCCTCATGTATGTTTTTCAGACCTTACGTATTAAATCCTCATGTATGTTTTTCAGGCCTTACATATTAAATCCTCATGTATGTTTTTCAGGCCTTACGTATTAAATCCTCATGTATGTTTTTCAGGCCTTACATATTAAATCCTCATGTATGTTTTTCAGGCCTTACGTATTAAATCCTCGTGTATGTTTTTCAGGCCTCACGTATTAAATCCTCGTGTATGTTTTTCAGGCCTCACGTATTAAATCCTCATGTATGTTTTTCAGGCCTTATGTATTAAATCATCATGTATGTTTTCAGGCCTTACGTATTAAATCCTCATGTATGTTTTTCAGGCCTTACGTATTAAATCCTCATGTATGTTTTTCAGGCCACCAGTGCCTTGTCCATGGGAAGGATGTACTAGAAAGTTGTCTTCTAAAGTAGGATTATACAATCACCTGAGAATGCATCGTGGAGAAGCTGATTTTAAATGTTCACATTGTGGTAAAGGTAAGGAAAGGTTTCATTCCATAACCCCTTCTGAAACACACAGTATCAAAGTCCAAAATATTGGTACTGTAGGTTTCATTCTACAACCCCTTGTAAAACTCACAGTATTAAAGTTAGTTTGTTTTACGGTAAGTTAAGTGGTTTAGTACAAGTAGCTAGTTAGTTTGTTTTATGGTAAGTTCCATCTTACTTATAATGTTCATATATAAGTGGTTTAGTACAAGTAGCTAGCTAGTTTGTTTTACGGTAGGTTCCATCTTACTTATAATGTTCATATTTAAGTGGTTTAGTACAAGTAGCTAGCTAGTTTGTTTTACGGTAAGTTCCATCTTACTTATAATGTTCATATTTAAGTGGTTTAGTACAAGTATCTAGTTAGTTTGTTTTATGGTAAGTTCCATCTTACTTATTATGTTTCATATTTAAGTGGTTTAGTACAAGTATCTAGCTAGTTTGTTTTACGGTAAGTTCCATCTTACTTATAATGTTCATATTTAAGTGGTTTAGTACAAGTATCTAGTTAGTTTGTTTTACGGTAAGCTCCATCTTACTTATAATGTTCATATTTAAGTGGTTTAGTACAAGTATCTAGCTAATTTGTTTTACGGTAAGTTCCATCTCACTTATAATGTTCATATTTAAGTGGTTCAGTACAAGTATCTAGCTAGTTTGTTTTACGGTAAGTTCCATCTTACTTATAATGTTCATA